AACTTCTAAAACAAAATGCTATCAGGAAGAACCTATCCATTGCTCGTCTCAAAATTAATAAAACGTGGGTTGATGATATATTTGGATCTCAAAGTCAACTTCAAATTTCATGTTTTAATTATAAACGTAAGTCAAATTTTACAAAACTGATTTGACAAGAAGATGTTGCAAATATTGTTTTAAATTTTATATCTGTATAATTTAATATTGCAATAAATATTATTAACTTATAACATGTATTTCGAAAGAAATCTGGAAGCAAATATCTCAGATTTTCGTTGGATATTAACAATAAAACAATTGTCAGTACGTTGAAGAATTCCTAAACTTTGGATAAAGCTTATCCTAAGCTTTTATAAATTTGGGTCTGATCTCTGGTTAATCAACTTGATAGTATACAAATCTATACCGCAAAATAATTGCAAAAGTAACAAAATTACAAAAATTTATTAAGTGTTTATGTTCTTGTGTAATGTTATAATGTAATATATTGATATTTAGTCCGAATTATAAAGTAGGTTTGACGGAGTAGAGTCACTGAATAAATTCAAAATTGCTTATATGACTACCAGCCAAATGTGGTAGTCAAACACCAGTTAAAAACAAATACAAAGACTGCCTCTGCTTATTCTAAGCCATCATTTTAAAAACTTCTATGACATTTAAAATAAATTCTCTAACCTTTAAAGCTGTCATTTCCTTAAAATAGTTAATACTCATGACAAGGGCTTACAATTAGATAGAGAATCATATTAGATTGCTTAAAAAATTTTCAACAAATCAAATCTGTAAGCCTTTCAAATATAGCATTTACTAATGAAATTTTTTTTAGTTAATTTACCCCAGCCACCTGATTTTTTTTGCAATGCTTTTTGTATACAAGTAATTAGAGAGAATGCTGCAAACATTTATTTTAATTCTGTGTTTATATTCTTTCTGCACGCATCACTAAAGACCGGTGATCGTTAATTGGTATGACAAGATAAAAGCCTTTTATAAAATGTCATTCTGAAGACAGAAATATTTATCAGCTGTAAATATGAATACAAATTGCGTTAATTAGACAGCGGTGCAAGTCCGTGAAGGGTTGTTATTGTAATACGGCTTGGAATTATAAAATAAAAAATTACCAAGATTTATTTGTTGGTTTCCGATTTTTCTTACAACTACATATATATTTGAGCTTAATAAATATTAAGCTGGTTGGTACGAAAAGAATTTCCAATTTCCAGTTTATCTACATAGTTTTCACAACTATGGCTGTATCAAATAAAGATATTTTGAACAAAACATGAAAAACAATTTAATAAATAATAATGATATAGTTTTTTCTAATTTAAGTATTAACTAATAGGCAAATACTTATTCAGAGAATTGAATACCAAACAATAAAAAATAGTATAAGAAAGATTTAGACTAGATCTTAAGATTATCAGCTAATTTCAATAGCTTTTTGATGCCCATTTATTGTATTTGGTTTTTGTATTATTTCCGCAAATAATTTTAGTCCAAAATATGTTACTGATATTTCTCTTGTAAATAAAATACTCTATATACAATAAACCGTAATAATAATTATTTGTTAGATTACAGTCTGTAGAAATATATAACAACATAATAGATTATTTAAAACTATGTAAAGTAGGTATATAAAAGTAGAAAACAAGTTTAGGTAATATTCGCTCTAAATATTATTAAGTGTAATTATGTGATTATAGCAATAAGGATGTACCAGATGCCAAGATAATAAATTAATAAAAAAAAAAAAATTATTCAAGACAATAATTACTGAGTTCGTGAGCATTATTTAAAATCTGAAGGTCAATAAATGGTGAGGTATTAATTTTCAAAATTTTAACTGCAAGATTACGATCGCCAAATGTATAGTAAAAAATGTATTTCAAAGTATAATTTGATTATTTATTACGTATGTAATATTTTATAAGCCATTTGTATGTAAATATTAGAATATATAGTGATAAAATATGCAAAATGTTATAAATACATTTACATATTCAATAATATTAATAAATGGCACTAACAAAGCAAAACTTTTTAAAACAGGAAATTATTTTACCTTGAATATTATCAATATGAGATTTGATTAGTAGTAGTTACAATAAAATTATTATTATTCAAAATAATCAAATAATATGAAATGATAGCTAAAAAATCGGAATTTTTATTTAAAATATAATTTTTTATTGCTCTAACTTATTATTTATTGTATCATAATTTCAAAATAAAATTAATTATGATTAGCCAAAATTTCGATTAACTTTACAAATCATAAACAGTACTCGATAAAAATAATCATATTCAATCTGATCAGTTTATAATGTAAATTTTTATTTTTTTACATTTTCACATCACGTAGTGTAAAATGTGAAGTGAAATGTAATATAATGAATAAATTCTATCGTATTGACTTAATATTTTATTTCATTTGTTGTACAAAAAACATATTTAATGTAATAAAAATTAATAAAATTTTTGCGTTAATTAAAAATTGCTTTATTCGTAGGTAAACAAACGCATCAAACATTGCACAACATATGACCACGAAATCAAATATGTTTACATTTTTCGCGATAAACATTCCTAGATAACATTAAAAAAGTCACAATACTCACATATGAATAAAACCAAGGTAAATAGTGTTATCCAGAACAAAGAGCACCGATGATATCTCCTACTCATATTTGCTTTATTTTAATAAAACAAAACTAAGTCCTGGAAATTAACTAGCAAATCACAAAATTTGAGCGAACAACTGAATGGCGCGTGTTTTGTCTACAAGATGCAAACACTAAAACAACAGAAAGAACTGATGCCGAACTAGTACTTGGCGAATATAAACTTACAAATACAAATGCAGAATGAAGATCGTGTGCATTATTGATATAATACGGCGAGATTCGAATGTTTGCGAGAATGGGTATCATCTTCGGATGCCTATTTAATGCTATAGAAGGCGAAATATGAAGCAAAAATTATACCATGTGTTTGATGTCAAGGCTGTGATTATACGGATCACATGAGGTCGCGCGCTCGTGAAGATTAATCACTTTCAACAACGTATCGTTATCGATTTGTCAAATTTGTATTCTTCACTTCTAATGGTGATTATTTCTAAATATAATGGATTTAATGCACTTTGAAATATTTTTCAGAAATATGATATATGCATACAGGGTGTTCCAGAACTCAACGTCAAGCCGAAACAGGATGATGTTGATCGTAAGGGATCCATTAATCACGTGAGCGAGTTTTTAAGGATTTTTGGACCCCTTCCCCCTGGGTGATGCATGGTGATATTCAAAATTACCCCCCTCCCCTACCAAACATCATGTGTATTTTTAGTTACGTGATAAAACTGTTTTTTTTTTAAATGTTAGATTTTTTCTTAAAAACATCAGTTAAAAAGTAAATACACGTGATATCTTACTATACCCCTCCATCCCCCACGTAATATTTTGTGATTTTTTGTCAGACCTTCGCTCCCCCTGAAAATCTCACGTGATTGATGGACGCCACCAAACTATTCTGGGAAGATTTCAACTTTGCTTGGAAATTATGAGCTTTTAAGTACAAGTTGTAGTAAGGTAATAAAATTTAACCACAATAAACGAACTATGGTTACCAAAGTCTTAGGTTGTACTGTATCATAGTTCGTTTATTGTGGTTAAATTTTATTACCTTAGTTAAATTAAACTTGATACAGTCAAAAATAGTGACACAATTGCCAAGTTTGCGAGAATCAAGTCTTATTATTAAACTACAAATTAAAAATTCCTAAAATCGGTCGATTTTGAAAGGCCAACCTTTGAAAAATGTACTAAAGTGTGTCGACAAATTTCATCAAAAGTAGGCGCGGCGATTGTAAAATGAAATCACTTGATAATTTTATTATTGAAAAAAAGAGTAATAAAATAAAATCCGAAAAATGGTTCCATAATCGCCAACGCTCTCAAATGTTTTGGTTCCTAATTTTTCTACAACTACGTTTACCAAAATCAAAACAAATAAGTAAAATTATTGAAATAATCATAAAATAATGAATAATCTTGTCCTAGTTTAGTTTTGGTTTATTCGATTTTTAGTATTTATAAAAAATGATTTACGAACATTAAACTAAATTTTTATTAAGCTTTAGATCGGTACATAAAAAAAGTTCCATGACACCATGAATAAGCATAGAAAATAATAAAATTTTGGTCTTCGGCGACAAAAGCAGATGGATGTAATAATTGGTTTATTTATGAAGTAAAAGTTTAAAGGCTTAAATAGTAACGACAATAATAATCTGAAAGTGCAATTCTATATAAGTTCTTATAAAAGCTAACATAATAATCTGAACTTCTACATTATCACATGTAAGATTTTTTTGATCAATTGTATTGAAAGGACCTGGTTGGCATGATTGTTTTAATCTGAAGTGAAAGAACCTACTGCAGGTCCTAAAAACATCGTTCAAAATTTCTGTTTGGTTTTGAAAATTGATAGTAGCTTTAAACCGATTTTGATTTATAACGTCTTTCATTTGATTAAATTAAAAACAACTTACTACCTACTTACTGATTTTTATTCGACATGATAGCTGGCTACAAAATTGGACACCTAATATCAACACGGCGATATAAAAACTCGGTGAAAACACGGAAATTATAAATAAATCATATTGAATTTGATAGAATTAGAACTTCAATTATTCAAATGTTTTAATTTTCTATCTGCACCAGCTGTTCTATCATGTCCTTATCAATCTAAATAAAGCTTTCAAACGTATTGCCTTTTTGACATCAAAATTGTTGGACAACCAAATGAAGGAGAGGATTTATATGCAGAAGATAAGTTGAAAAGTAATGTAAAAAGAAAAAAGTATGAAAAACTAAAGAATGTAGTAGAATTGTAGTAGTAGATAATAATTAAGTAATGTTGTAGGTGGCTAAATGCTTGAAAGCGAGGCCAATAAAAATTTAAAAAAATACATTCTAAAAATGAGGATAACAACTGTCGACCAGAATAGATCATCTCCATGGGCATTGGTTAATATATTTTCAATTTAGAAGATTTTTTTTATTATTTCAAAAATGTTGTTAATCTATACTACTAAGCATAAGCAATTCACACAGAAGAATAGCACTTGGCAATTTTCAAGTTTAATTTTTCTTCTGAATATTTTTCAGAAGTTTTGCTTGTTTAATTATAGTTGCATATAATATTTTTCATAAATCTGAAAATGTTTTTAAATCATTTTAGACATGATGCCCCATTGATGCTCATAGTTACATAGGTAAAAATTTTCCCATTTGAATGCATCTATTGGATTATGAGTGGCTTGAGCTAATGGCAAATTGCAATTACTAATTCATATAAATTTGCATCCGGATGCCGAGAAGCCAACAAAGTGTTGCACACATTCCTTACGTCAGTTATATCCATTAATGTATAATTAGTGATGTTATAGACAAGGATAATAAATATGCAAAATAATTTATAAAATCATTAATTTTATTCTAAACTATTGATGATATATAAAGTTTAAAAAAATCAGCATAGTATAGACACGTTAATAAAATTGTATTTAATTATACAAATTTGTGAAACTTGTTGCAGATTTGATTGATTTAATTTAATTATACAAAAATGATTGATTGATTTAATTATACAAAAACTGAAATTGATCCAGTGCCACTTTAAGTAAATTAGCAATATTTTAAGATACACATTCTTAAGGTATGCCCCACGATACTTCTCCTATGTAGTTTTTTCTCATGTTAATCTGACAAAATTATCTTGACATGGTTATCAAAGACCTTAATCCTGGAAATCAACGTAAATTAGCAATATCTTAAGATACACATTCTTAAGATGTGCCCCACGATACTTCTCCTATGTAGTTTTTCCTCATGTTAATCTGACAAAATTATCTTGACAAAAACCTTAATACTGGAAATCAACATATCATGAAAATCTGAGCCAACTTAACTTATTAGTTTTGAAAAAAAGGTTTCCGACTGTAAAATACCATTTACATGACTCTTATGACGTTTTAAAATTTTTATTATACTGTCTAAATAAATTGCATAATTCAAAACATAATTATGTTTTTTTATGAAACACCTACAAATATGATAAAACAAATGAATAAAATTCACATAAATTA